ATTCAAATTCCCAACCCAGGATCGGTTTTTGCTACCCCATGGCTAAACTAGATGACTTCTAAGATTCATTCTAATCACGTGATTTTCTGATTCCTATATTCTTCTACTTAAAAAAAAAAAAAGGAAGAGCTGACCAGGTCCAGCCTGATTTCAGCATTTATTTAATTTCTGTCCAACACAATGCCTTGTACATACACCTTATTTAATATTTGCTGAGTTGACTACTCTCCTCATACTACCAAGTTCATGACCTTTAGCCTGGTATCATAGTGCAGATCCTGACAAAATAAGAACTTGGAACCAATACACACCTTTACTTACTGTAAACCATTCAAATAATAATCATTCTGTTTTTTATCAGCAGCAACCTTTGTTGAATGTGATATGGAACTATTCACTTCATTTCCCTGAGACACCCTTTGATGGGGGCTTATCTTTTTAAATATTTACATTATGTACAAACATAGTTTCCATTTGAATGAGCAATTGAATTGGCCAGGCCAATGTTTGAAGTCTACCTAATATGAAACTGATCCACATAACCAGAGACTTCCAGATAATCTTGTGAACAGATTTTAGCCTTTGGATTTTTAGCCATGGCATTGTTTTATCCATCCTTGTTTCTAACACTTGACTTTTTGGGTCTTTCAATAATCTTTTATCTATTTAAAAAATTTTCAATCCAGTCTCCTGATTAAAGGTAGTGTGACCAGTACTGTCTGGGTGGGGCCATAGAGAACAGGAATGTTAACTGATTTCCCTCCAATCACTCAGGAAATCTTAAGGGGCCTTCCACACTGAATTTCCAACTAACAACAACAGAGCAGAAAGAGAAGGCAGGGCTTCAGTATTGATTTGTCTGTTTACTAAGATGATAATCACCATCACTCACACTTCTATAACAGCCATAATAATAATTCACAGTTATATGTAGCTTTGAGCTTTATAAAGTGCTTTCCCACTTGGAAATGTTATGGTTCCTGAACAGCATATGTAAATATCCAGAGGAATTTGAAATGTTTGTTTTTCTTATTTCTGATTCTAGGAGGTAATTCAGCATGGCTATTTTTATTACAAGTAAAATGTATTATCTCCTGTGCTCAAGTGTTGAGGTTGTAGGAAACAACTCTGAGAACATTTTTTTTATAAAGAACAAAAACAACCAAAGGTAACTGCCTGCTCTTGTATCCTCATAGTCTCGTTCAATCAACGAATCAACCCACAAGCATTTGGCAAGCTCCTACTATGTGCCATGAACAGTGCTAGGACCTGGAGATAACTTGTACAAAGAATGAAACAATCTCTTTTTAAGCCTACATTCTCATGCAATTTTGCTTAGGAAGGATCAAAAAGCCATCCTCCAAAGATGGAGAACCCAAAGCAGAATAAGCTTATGAAGTCTCTTGTGAGATTGGTGTAACAGCAGTGGTTCAAAGAATTAGGCTTAGGCAATATCGTCAAAAATAACGCTTATCAAAAACTCAAAATTGTATCCTCTTTTTTTAAAAAACAATTACCTTCAAAGAAGTTTTACAAAAGTTAGAGTAAATTTAGTAAAGGGTCCTCTCTGCAGGTCCTTCTCCTCATGGTACCATGGAGATGACCTTGAGCTTTCAAAGACAATAATAGATTCAGGAGCTTCCATACTGGAAAAGGCTATAAGGATAGGTCTACTCATGGCCCAGGTCTTTCCTGCCAGGAACAGCAGAGCAAAGGATGGAGAGGCTCATTGCCAGCCTGGTCACATTTGGAAGCACAGCAACTTACGCTTACTTAGCAATCCTCAGAAAAGTCGTTTGAGGTTGGCAGAGCAAGTACTGTCACTTTCATTTTTACAGATGGTAAAACTGAGGTTCAGAGATGAATGACAGTAGCTCAATTTACAGTACCCTGAAACTGTCTAAGTGTTTTACATTCATTATCTCAGATAAACGAAATTACTACTGGACGTTGATTGGGAGCGATATCTACTGGTCCTCAGAACAGCCCTGTGAGGTAGATGCTGCTATTATTATTATTCCCATTTCACAGATGAGAAAACTGAGGCTCAGAGATGGTTAAAATGACTTGCCCAAAGAGTATCTGATGCTGCATTTGAACTCAGATCTTACTGACTCTAACCCCAGCACTCTCTGTAGCTGAAGAGATCTACCTAAAGTTTTGTTGTTGTTCAGTCATTTCAGTCTGACTTTTCATGACCCTATTTTGGGTTTTCTTGGTGAAAAAACTGGAATGGTTTGTCATTTTTAGTGCTAGTACTAATAGGCTTTTATCATGTATAATTTATATTTTTATCAAGTTTGACTTTATAATCTGACCTTTGCATGCATATTGATTCTGTATCTCGGTTATGATTTCTGCTTATCATGTGACTTTTAATCTTATTTCTTCAAAATCACTCTAACGTCATATAACTCTAATCACAGGAGTTCTTAACCAGTGATCTATGAACCTAGTTGTTGGGTTTTTTTAATATTTTGATAACTATTTCAACATAATTGTTTTCCCATCCATTTTATTTTGATTAAATTCCCGTGTTCCACTGGACTTGAATAGCCCCTGATTCCCTCCCCCCAGTAAGATTCAACCCAAAGACTAAGGGTTTTGCATATGGCAGTTACTCAGTATTTACTATTGACTTCCACCCCCTAAACCTCCAGTGACCAGGTTTGGTGCTAGTTTTATCATATGCATGAAGGAATATGCATGCAAGTATAGTGCCAGGCATAGGATGATGCTATTACAGCTAGGTGCATGGTGTTGGCAAGATAGGCAGAATGACGGCTAGCCGGGCAAACTCAGAAGATCAGGCAAAGGCTGGGAGTCTGCTCCCCATGGTCACACGAGGGCATCATCCAAAAAGTAAAGGCAAAATCTGATCACCCCAAGAGAAAAAGGCCTCTGGATGGAACATGGTGTGCCTTTAGCCAAAATCTAAACTGAGTCTAAAATAGGGGTGTTGACCCAGTCAGTGACAGGTGTCAGGCAAGCAGTAGAGGAATAAGGAGAAAGAAAGGAATCTCCTGGCAGGGAGTTCTGGCACTAAATGCCTGGGACTCCACACTCTGGCCCTTGCAGCCTTATTTCATTCTGTTCTGCTCCATACCATGCTCCATCCCAATGAGGCTAATACACCACAGTCACCATCACTTTCCTCCCACAGTGCATACCATTGCTCATGCTGCTCACTGTGCTTGTAATATCTTCCCCCAACCCTGTTTTGAATTCATATTCATCCTGCAAAGTCAACTCCAAAGTCACCTCCTCCAGGAAATCACTGATCCCCAAATCAATCAGTAATGACCTTTCTTTCTCCCAACCTCCCCCTTCAAACTCACATAGCATTTTGCTTGTCTCTCTCTTATACACTTGTCAGGTATTAATTTTGAATTTTAGTTGTTTATTATGTATGTGTCAAAACACAGCCTAGTGTCTAGTGAATAGAGAGCTGGCCTTGGAATCATAAAAACCACGCCTCTGCCCTGAGGTACTGGCTATGTGACCCTGGGCAAGTCAGTTAATCTCCCAGTGCCTCAATTGAGCTACCATACTAGAGGAAATTACTTACCTGAAGCTTCTTACACCGAAAAAATCACAGATGGAGCCAAAAAGAAAAAAAAAGTCACATATGATATGGTCCTAACAGAAACTTGATGAGGACAGACCCTGGGTCTTGTCTACGCTTCTCATCTGCCCCAGAGCTTAAATAAGAGCTCTCTACTGAGAGGAGAGTTACTAAAAGTTTATTAGATCACCTCTTTTTGTATCCCCAGCACCTAGCAGAATGCCTGGCACACAGTAGGCACTTAATGAATTTTCATGGATTGATATACTGAATTGAAACAAAAGATGCAGGAAGTAATCCACCAGAAAGATTTGATGACGTTCCTGTAATTTGTCAGGCACCGAGCTGGGCATGGCAACAAAAAAATCAAAGTAGAACAGTCCCTGCCCTCAAGAGACTTGGATTCTATCAGGTTAGACAGCCTATAAACCAGTAGAGGATTAGCATCTGGTCCTGGGTTTCCTCCTAGGGAAGCTCCTGATTAGAAATATCCTCGAGCAATGCAGATCTGCACCTGCTTCACACACTGTGACCTTGGAGTGTTGCCTAGAACAGGAAGGGAAAAGCATAGGTGACACGCCTGGGTCAAACAGCCGGTATGTCTCGGAGGTGAGACTTGAACCCAGGTGTTCTTGGCTTTCCCAGTCAACTTTATAAATACAAGATAGGAAGCCAGCCATTAAAACTGGGATGCAAAACAGTATACCTGGCCACCAAGAGAGCAACCCGGGGAGAAAAGCTGGTCACAAGGGCCACGGGGAACCCAGGTTAGAATGAGACAGGATCACTATGTGCTGTCAGCATGGGACGAGTTAGCCTTTCTGCTCAGGACCGAGATTAACCTCAGAGCTGAGCTTTCATTATAGGTACCAGATACAGCTGACTTGGATTGCTTGTCTTCCTAATGCCTCTGGGGCAACGATACATTCAAATGCGTTTTACTAAAAAAGATGCCAATAGGACAAAATATTGGGTAATATTGGGGGTGAGAGAGGCTTCAATGGCTTCTCCTCACGTTCCTGGAAGGAGGGGCAAAAACCTGCAGGGGACAGTAACTGGCACTCGTTGGTAGCCACGTGGGCCAGTGAATGCCCCCCAAAAGGCTGGTAGATTAGGGCCATGGAGGCTCATATGGTTGAGCTGAAAGGGACCTCAGAGGTCATTTAGACCATTCCCCTCATTTTATAGAAAAAGGAATTGATGTTCAGAGAGGGCAAGAGATTTGTCCAAGGTCACACAGGTAGCAAATAGCAGGGTTGGGATTCAAAACCAGGTCCTCTGATTCCCAAAGAGCACTCTCCCCACTGATGGTTGAGTAGAACCCCTCCTTGGCTTCCCTCCTTCTAGAAAAATAGCACAGCAGGCGAAGAATGCCTTCAGGCTTGTGGTTCAGGATACAAAGCAAGATTTGAACTCCTTCCTTCTGTCTTTGCAGTGTTCCCAGCTGGCATTCTTCAGCCTCCGTTCTTCAGTGCAAACCAGCCCAGCTCCTTGAACTATGGCGGCATCGGCATGGTCATAGGACACGAAATCACCCATGGCTTTGATGACAATGGTGAGTCCCTCTTGCCAAGTTGATATTCCTGAAGCACAGGCCTGACCTGGTCACTCCGCAATTCCTGTTGCCTCTAGGAGAAAATACAAAGTCTTCTGTTAAGTATTTAGAGCCCTCATAGCCCAGCTCTGGCCTGCTTTCCAGGCTGATTTCATTCTGTTTTACTCCCCCTCATCCACTCTGTGCTCTGGGCTCACTGGCCCTTTCGCTCTTCCTCCCACCAACCTTTGGCGAGGCTGCTGTTCCCTGTGCCTGGATTGCTCTTTATTCCCCTCTCCATTGCTTGAGATTCCTTGTTTCTTTCAACTCTCAGTTCACATGTGTCCTACTAGGCCTTTCCCCACTTCTCCAGTTGTTCATTCAGCTTCTCCATGCTGCCCCCACCCAATGATTTTGTATTTATTCTTGGAGGTGCCTGTTGTTTCCCCAGGAAGAATGTAAGCTCCGTGAGGGCAGGGAATGTAGTTTTGTTTTTGTCTTTGTATGCCCTGAACCTACACAATGACTAATGGGGTGGGATGGAATGCAACAGGATGTGAAATCCCAAGGTAACACCGAATAACCATAGTGGCAGAATGCTGAACACTGTCAGATGCTAGGTTGGTTTTTCTGTATTTAGAGCTGGAAGAGCCCTCAGTTTAACTCATTTTAAGAAAACTGGGACCCCAGTGGGCTTAGGGATGCCCTCAAAACAGCCAGAAATGTGGTCCTGGAGCTCAGCTGAGGGGTCTGAGCTGGAGACATTAATTTGGAAGTTAACCTAAGCACAGAGATGATAACTAAAGTAACGAGACAGGACCGGTTAACGAGGAAAACATAGCAAGAAGCCAGTACTCACGAGTAAAGGATACAGGAAGAAAAGAGGAGGAAAGGAAACAGGGGAGTGATTTCAGCAAGTTATTTATTGAAGGTCTACCACGTGCTTGGCATAATTCTAAGGACTGTGGGGGATTATACTGGAGAAACATCACTAAAGAATTTACAACCTAATTAGGCAAACAAGGCTTTTATACTCAAAGCAAGGAAGCAACAATACAGGGCAGAAAGTAAAGTGTCAAAATTCCAAAGAAAGATAGCAAGTCCTATGAGAATGAGGAAGAGGAAGAATTCATTTGGGCTACAATCAGGACAGGCTACATGCAGGAGGTAATACTTGGGGTGGATAAAAAACTCGGTATGCATGGGTTAAAGTCCAGACACCAGTCTCTTTGGCTCCCTTGGAATTTTTTAGTCATAATGGACCAAGAACAGAGATTTGGATCTTTCAGAGTCTTGGGGTTTCAAGCCAAGAGGTCTTGATTCCCTTTTTTAAAAAACAAACAAAAAAATCTGTCCAACTGAACCAAGGCCCAATTGCTTCTATCAGTGAAGATTTCAGTTCAGTGCAACAAGCTTATATTAAGGCCCTACTATGTGCCAGTGACTAGGGGAGGTACTAGGGCTACAAAGGCAAAAATGAAAGCATCCCTGCCCTTTGGGAGCTTAGATTCCACTGGGGAAAATCAACTTATGAACAGATAAAAATAATTCACAAAGTCAAAGAACAGTAATAACTGGGGTGGGGGAGAGGAAAGGGAGCTGGGAGGGCCATCTATAGGAAGCTACACCTGAGTGACTGGATGAAGTAGAGAGGAGGGAGGGTGTTCCATAATAGGGGACTACTTGGACAAAATGCTACTACTACCTTACTACTACTACTACTACTACTACTACTACTACTACTACTACTACTACTACTACTACT